TACATACATACTAAGTTGCATATATACAGGCAGGCAGACAACAAAAGACGTTTCTTCATCTCCCCTTCCTTTTTGCGTACTTATCACAAGCAGATTCACACATGAATAAAAATAAAAGAGAGGACAGAAGAATATGAAATACTCTCGCTTTCCTGTTCTTTAGAAAGAAAGAGCGAAGAATAAAATTTGAAAGAATCATCTTTTTTTTAAGCAAGGCTAAACTCTGCAATCTCGCCCATCTCATTCTTCACCTCCTCGCCGACCTTGTACGAGGCCCGCCAGCGCAGCTTGACGGATTCGACTCGCTGGTTCCTGTTGCCGGTGTGCCAGACGTCGACTTCTTGGGTGACGCCGCGGCTCTGCTTGGGGGAGAGGGCACGGCCTGTTTGGGGTTTGAGTTGGAGTTCGTAGCCCTGCGCGAAGTGAAAGCAAAGGTTAGTTTTCAGTTTTGAAGCAAAACGAAAATATGAGATAACAAAGAAGGGGTGGAACAAACCTTTGTGACGGCTAGTTGAAAGTGAAGCTCATTAATAGGCTGCGCAGTGTTGTTGGAAAAGGCAAAGACAATGTTGATTGCGTTGCTGACAGCCGTGCTTCGCTTCGCCAGAAAGTCGGTCCTAAGACTGGAATTGCCAGCAGTTCCCTTATGCTCTGTGGGCTTGGCTGGGGCTTGTTCCGTCGGCAGGGCAGATGAGAAATTCCACTCGTCATCATCGTTGGAGACGGCAGCGGGCTTTGGCGCGGGAGGGCTGGTGGTGAATGAAGCAAAGGCATTGGAGGCAGCTTGTTGCGGTGGTGACGTCTGCTGCTGGTAGTTGGGCTGAGGCGTAGCGGACTGAGAGGCGGGAGGAGATGTAAAGGAGGCGAACTGAGAGAATGGAGGAGGTGTGTCGTTCTGCCCAGCTCCTCTGGCAGTACTGCCTTGGGTTAAAGATGAGAGGAGTGCCGGTCCAGGAATATCTAGTAAAGGTTAGTATAAGCGTTCAGGGTTCGCTGGGATTTGGCTGCTTTGCTTACTTTGGTTTGATCCAAATCCTAGAGCAATGCTGCCGCCTTGCCCAAAAGTGTTCGATTGGCCGCCAATGTCCAGGCCAAGGAGGTCATTCTCCAATCCGCCAGCTTGCGACGAGCCTGCACCGTTGCTGCCGTTGCTCTGCGCGGCATCGCCGTCAAAATCTATTAGCGACAGCTCGTTTGCCGCCGATGCTGGAGCTCCCGAGTGTGATGGCGGGGGCGCGCCCGCAGCAATCTTGGCAGCGCCGTCCATGTCGCCCTTCTTCATCAGCTTATATCGCTCAACTGTGCGGTGTATGCTGTCGTTGATCTCCAACAGCCTGGCCACGGCCTCGTGATCGTCCGACTCCTCTTCGCACATCTTCTGGATCTTGGGTTGGGCGCTCTGCAAGGCAGCGGCGAGTTCGCTGAAGACGTCGCCGTCTTCCATTTTGTCTCCTGCCCTGAACGCTTCAAGGCGTTCCTCTAGTAGTCTGGCCTTGGCTTGGATCTTGCCTACATCCTCAGCAGCTTTGGCGCGATAGTCTGTCTTGGACCTGGTGTCATAACCGGCCATGACCTTCATTAAACGGTTGGCTTCCTGGAGATCCTCGGGGGTGCCTCGGCGGATAAGCTCTTGTAGCTTGGCTGACTGCGCCTCTCGCTCTTCTTCCTCCATCTCCTCGGCCGATTTCAGATTCTACATGATAAGATCAGTTAGCATTGCATCTATAATATCTAGCAGCCAGATCTCATATGAATGCGCAATAGATGACAAAGATGCGCTTCTGCTCTGATAGCGAGGCTAGGGGCAAAGCAACTCACGTCACTGGGATTCAACACGGCAGCATCTTCCCTCCGCACTTCAGGGAACATGTAACCCTTGTAGCTGAGCAGCCGGTGCATGTCCCGGATGAAGCCCAGATCATCTCTGTACCGGCTCGTCTCGCAAATCGTCATGCGCCATTCCTCAATGAGCTCAAGGATCTTGTTCTGGACGCGGGTCGGCCGAATTGGAGGACGCTCCGGGAATCTCCGCACCAGCTCGTTGAGGAACTCCTTTGTGCTGATCTGCAGGTGGAAGGGGTAGCCGCAGTTCTTGACGCAGATATCGAGCAGGCTGAGGGCAAGCAGGGCAACATTGGGGTTGCGGTGGTTGACGAAGCCAACAATGGCCGTGGCAGCCTCGCGAGGGGCGGTGCCCTTCTTGCTGTTGATGAGGTCCGAGATCTCGAGGTTGAGCGCCAGATTGGGCTCGTAGTTTTCGGGGCTGCAGGCTCCCTGGATGAAGCGCAGGAGCTGCGAAGAGGAGCGACCAGCGTCGCCCCAACGATCGCGAGTCGCGGCGCGAGCAGAAGCAGCTTCCATCTTGTGTTATATTGCGCTGCGCTGGTTTGGTGGGAGCTCAATCAAGCCCAGGGCAGCTGTCCTGCGGGGTCGGTCTCGGATCCAAGCCGCAGTGTGTGCTGTTTATTGTGTATCAGTTGTCTCTATTGCTGTCGGCTCGACCGATTGCAGCAGCGATTGGAATCGTGATTCGAAGCCGGGGAGGTGCAAAAGCTGGATTCTCGGGTCAGAAGCAAGGCCAAGGACGCCGACGTGGCCGGAGCTGGAGCGGGATCAAGGCGATGGCCTCGTACCTCGTAAGCGGTGCCTGGTCGCAGCTCCTTCAACGCCGCAGTGGAAACGCCGGTTCGGACGAGACTTGCTCATCCATTCGCCTCTGCTCTGGCGACGTGGTCACTGGGTGGCGGAGAGAGGAGAGGCAGCAGCGAAATGAGCGCTGGAGGTTGCTGTAACGAATCGAATGGCTGTGTTGCTACCGCTGCCTGCTAGTGGTCGCGCTTTATGTAGTTATCCGGGGTTTGGTCCCTGCGGAGCGCTGTGGGCGCCGGTGGCCCGGTAGTAACACGGCGTTGTTGAAAGCTGCCGTAATGAATATTAGAAAAGTATACGGACTCTTGAATTTATTCATATCTTGATGCCGTTTAACGTTACTTGGTACCGAAAATCTGCATTGAGTCGCGGCTAAAGTATACACTGTAAACCTATTGTATGTTGTTAATCAGTGATGTTGTCCATGCATCTCGAACTATACCTAGCAGATGCACCATTCATGTCTCCCTAAGTACCCCAATTACAATCTTATATATGTTACATTCCATTTAATTGTAATATTAGCTAGTCAAGCACACCACGCAATCTACTATCAATTGTTTTTGTATTTATAGCTATTGATTGTCACAGCAGCACTCCCATCATCTCTTTTACAGGGTATTCTAGAAAAAAGCAGCTACTCCAATGGAGGGGTAGATCCAAGCCCGCTGTATCGCGAAAAGCACCCAACCTTGCTAACTCCGATACTAAGAAAAAATAAATCTTCCCTTACATCATCAAGCCACCACCAACTCAAATTCCAACCTCACCAAGCCAAAATCTCGCCATTCCTTCCAGTCAGCTAGACGAAAACGACATACAATCTCCAACGCATAGATAATAATGGTGCGACACAAGAAAGACTTCGCCGGCAGAGGCAAGAAATTCGGCGGTCGTGGCGGCGGTCCTGCTCGCCAACCCCGCCATCACGACGACGAAGGCGCCGAGGGCTCAGTCGGTCGCCCTGCCTTCAAGGCCGCCTGTTGGGATCTGGGCCACTGCGACCCCAAGCGATGCTCCGGCAAGAAGCTCATGAAGCTGGGCATGATGCGCGAGCTGCACCTCGGCCAGCGCCACGGCGGCGTCATCATCACGCCCAACGGCAAAAAGGTCATTTCGCCAGCCGACCGCGAGCTCATGGACCACTTTGGCGCCGCCGTGGTGGAATGCTCGTGGGCACGAACTAAAGAGGTGCAGTGGAACAAGGTCGGGGGCAAGTGCGAGAGGTTGCTGCCGTATCTCGTGGCCGCCAACACAGTCAACTACGGAAAGCCGTGGAGGCTGAACTGCGTCGAGGCATTGGCCGCGGCGTTTGCTATATGCGGACATCTGGACTGGGCGGAGCAGATCTTGGCGCCGTTCTCGTATGGACCGTCGTTTTTGGAGATCAATTCGACCTTGTTGAAGAAGTATGCGGCCTGCGCGGATGAAGCTGCCGTCAAGAGGACGGAAGAGGAGTGGATGGAGAGACTAGAGCAGGAATATGCGGAGAGCAGAGAGGAGGGCGAAGACGATATGTGGACGAGAGGAAATACCAACAGATTAGCGCCAGTAGACTCTGATGATGAAGACGACGAAGACGAAGAAGAGAATTCAGAGGAGGAAGTCAATTCGGAGGAGGAGGGAAGCATCGACGGCATATATCTAGGCAAAAAGCCACCCAGCAAAAAGAACCAGACACAAGAAGAAGAAGAAGACGATGACGACGAAGATAAAGACCCATACGCCCTCTCAGACGACAGCGACGACGACGCCGCAATGGAAGAAATCCGCCGCAAAGTCCTCGCCTCCAAAACCTTTACCAACCCCAACCCAAACACCGACGAAAAGCAGAAACCTGCAGCAATACCCCGTCCGCAGCAGTCGAGGTTCAAGGCAGATCTGGATATCGAGCCAGACTCTGACAATGAGAACAGCAATGATAGCGATAACAGCGGCGACGAGGACGGCGGTGAGGGCGAGGGCGAGGACGATGAGTTTGACAACATTATTGCTGCGACGCCTATTACGGATCGGATAGGGCTGGATAAGTTGAAGAAGGAGAGGGCGAGGGCGGCTATTACGACAAAGACGTTTTCGTCGAATGTGGTTTCTGCGCCGAGTAGATGGTAGAGTCTTTTATAATACAAATAACGTCACTCGCTGCCAATATTTTTATTTCTTCTTAATCGCAAACAATCTTCTCTTCAAGTGAAATATCGTTATTCTATTCATTTGTTTCCCTTTGGAGCTTCTTACAAGCAATTTATGAGAAGAGCATTCTCTGAGCGTCCAGTATACTAGTACATGTCCATCCATATCGTACACACATATATATACATCTATAGAATAACTTTTGAGGGGGATATGTTTTACAAGCTTCGCCTCTCCTTAATCTCCTCATATGTCTGGATCTGATCATCCGCTTGGAAGTCGTCAAATTCCTCCAAGCCGATACCGCATTCCGTTCCTTTGCCCATTTCTTGAACATCCTTCTTCACATGCTTCAGCGTGTCTATCTTGCCTATAAATCCAAACTATTAGCAAACTTATTCAAAAATTTCCCAAAAGTGATCGAAACAGGGGGGGAAATGACAATACGTACCATCGTAGATTACCTCGCCCCGGCGAATGACCTTGACGCGAGACGACCTCTTGATAGAGCCGTTTCGGACTCTACAGCCGGCAATGTTTCTAAACACACGCTTCTTCAAGTTGATGGGGAACACTTGCAGCACGTCGGCTTCGCCGTTGACGCGGAAAGTGACATTCATGGGCAATAGATCGGACAGTGCCGCCTTGACATCGTCGATGACATGGTAGATGACCTTGTGGTCCAGAATCTTGACCTTGGCCTCCTCTGCTCGCTGCTTAATGTGCGGTGGGATGGTGCAGTTGAAGTTGATGATTATGCTGTTGGACGTTGCTGCGTGGTCAATGTCGTATTCCGTAATCTGGCCGGCAGAGGATCGCAGAATCTTGGGGTGCACCTCGTGGCTACCCAGCTCCAACACAGTTCCGCAGACAGCCTCCACGGATCCAACCACGTCTGCCTTGACCGTGAAGTTTTGGGTGAAGATTCCAGTCGCAGTCGACTCTCCAGCGGTGACTTTTGGCGCGCCCTCTGTCTCGGCCGCAGCAGCAGCAGCATCCGCTGCCGCCTTTTCTCGCTGCCGCTGTTCTTGCTCAGCCAGCTGGATGGAGCTTTGCTCACGCCCGGCCATCTCTTGGCGATACTCGACTGCTGACTTGGCCTTGGCTTCGTCAGGAGACTGAAGCACTTGCTCACCGGCTGAAGGCAGCTCTCGCCAGCCGAGAATCTCCACTGGTGTTCCTGGAGGAGCTGAATCCAGCTCGAGGCCAGCTTCGTTACGCAGCACGCGGATCTTTGCCCAAGTCTTGCCGGCAACAATCAAATCTCCCGGGCGAAGAGTTCCTCTCTTGACCAAGATTGTTGCAGCCTTGCCTTGAGGCTTAATACTAGACTCGAGAACCCATCCTTCAGCCATGCCGTCATCTTCAGCTCGGACATCGAGAATTTCAGAGAGCGTGACAATATTCTCCTCCAAATCTTCCATGCCCTGACCCGTTTTCCCGCTGACACAGACAACCTGCACATCGCCACCGTAGTCTTCAATTTCGACTCCATGGCGGGAAAGGTCTGCTTTAACTTGGTCAATGCGAGCATCTTCCTTGTCAACCTTTGTGATGGCGACAATAATGGGTACCTTGGCGCTTGTGGCATGCTTCAATGCTTCAAGAGTCTGGGGCATGACACTGTCATCGGCAGCAACGACAAGAACCACAATGTCTGTCACGTTTGCTCCTCGCTGTCGCATCGATAAGAAAGCGGCGTGGCCAGGAGTATCGAGGAAGGTGATGGATTTGCCGGATGACATCTTGACGATAAAAGCACCAATATGCTGAGTGATTCCACCATGCTCTTGTGCTGCGACTGAAGACTTTCGAAGCCAGTCCAAGAGAGTAGTTTTACCATGGTCGACGTGGCCCATGATTGTGACGACGGGAGGACGAGACGGCAAAGTCGAGACATCTTCAAGCAAAGGTCGGGGTCTGAGATCTCGAAGTGATCCAGAATCAACAGTTGGCTCAAAGCCATATTCCATTGCAATCAGAGCTGCCGTCTCTCCGGTGAAGATTGTATCACTGGTAATATTTTCGAAACCCATCTCTTCCATATCCTGTAGAAAAGGGGTTACATTCTGTTTCAAAGCTTTTGACAAGTTTGATGCGCTGATATATTCTGGGAGGAATATTGGGACGGTTTGTGGCTCTGCCTGTACGGCCTGCTGCTTGAGAGCCTCCTTTTCTGCCTTCCGACGTTGCTTCTGCTCCCAGCGGTGTACGGCCTCGTCATCCCAGTCGTCATCCTCAGCGGCTCGTGTTTCTCTTTGCGACTTCTTTGCCTTTGATTTGGACCGAGATTTCACAGGCTCCTCCTCCTCTTCAAGCTCGAGCCTCGACTTCCGCCTTTGCTTTTGGGGCTGAGCATTATCCTCAGCTTTCCTTATAGGTATAGCTGTCTCCTCCCACTGATCTTGATTAATCTGCGCGTTCTTTCTCCTGTCCGTAGATTGTCTTTGTTTTTCATTCTGGCCCTTATCTTTCCCTCTAAAGCCCGTAGCCCTAGTTTCTAGCTCTCCCCAAAAGTCCTGAGTCGGGACTTTCTGGTCTTGAGGAGGTTTGTCAGCTGAGGTCTTAGTTTCATGGCCATGCAGATGATGCGGCTTCGTTCCAAGCTTTGACTTGGGCTTGGGCTTTCGAGATTTTGTAATCTCGCTCCACACACCGGACTGATTCCCGCGAGTATCTATTCCGTGCGTGTGCGTAGCTGTCTCAGCTTTGCGATGGCTGAATGAGCCCCATCCAGTTGTCTTGATGCTACTATTTGACCTTGTTGATGAATCCTTGGCGGCTGCACCGGGTCGGTTCAATGCATTAGACAGTGTTGAGACTTTCTTATCGACTCCATCCCTCTCAGACCTGGATGCAGAAGACCACGACTCGGGTGTTGGCGGAGGCCGTGGCTCGCGATTTGTCTTGAAGATGTCGGCCAGAACTGACTTTGACTTGGTCGCTTGCGCATTGCTTCTCTGCCGATTTCCCACGCTCTTCTCGGGCTCACTCGCTTTTTTCGCCGGCACGTTCTCTACGACAGGCGATTGCTGCCTCGCTAGTCGCTCGTGCGGGAGCAATCCATTCGTTGAAGTCGAATTGCTTGACGCCGTATTCGGTTTTGCAAATGAGCCCCAGCCTCCCACGCCGGTATTGGAAAACGCACCCGGGAAACTCCCAGGCCTAGAAGGACCCTCATTGTCATTCGCAGAAGTGTTGAGATATGCCGTTCTATGTAGCGATCGAGTTTGGCAAAAGACTAATGCGCTGCGTTCGCTGGCATGCCCTCGCAATAGCCTTACGGACTTTGAAGAAGTAGCCGATACCGACAATGCTCGCTCAGGTTGCGATCTGGAACCAACGGCAGCATTCTGTCGGCAAAATGCGCACACGAAGGGATGGCTACGATCCTAGAACGTATGATGTCAGCTATTGAGCCAGCACAACGAAGCTCAATTGGATAGCAAAGATGCACACCTTCCACGCACGAGCCCTCAACATTGCAACAGAGGATATCCAAGAAGCTCACGCAAGGCTTCTGCCGACATCGGATATGAAGAGTAAGTATGGATAGAGGTGGTGGTTGGAGTTATGAAGTTATCCCAGCTCTAAAGAGCTCTTGTTCTAGGTTTAGCGGGATTCCGATTTTTTTTTTAAAGCCTCGAGATGCGCATTTCGGGATCAAATAGTCCGCGATTACAGCTACAAGAGGGTCTTTACACGTCTACACGTCTACACGTTTAAGCAAATTTTCAATTGAAATATCGCTAAATTGAAGAAAAGAAAGGATCAGATAGGAAATTGCCAATGTTTTCCTCCCTCTCTTTTTCTGTGATATGAGACAAAACTTATAAGCTTGCTTCGTGCCTGGCAGACTCAGCCTAGGCGTCTCGGGTACCCAGCAGCTTAGGCGCAGACTACTAGTAACAAGTACTCTGTACCTGCCAGTCAATTTATATCCCTGCCTTCCGCTGGAAGAGCAGATGAACAGACAATTCGCATGAATAAGCTCGAGCTTGTTCATCATACAAATGCTAGCCAGCAGCTTCCCTGAATTTTTCAATCGATTTAGGTAACTGATCAACTTCGTCATCTCTATAACTGTCCATTTTCTTTTCGAAGCTGCCCGCGATTTTACTGTGGACACAGTTTACAAAGCGGCCGGAGTCTGAGTTTTGCTGGGACCAACGATACCGCAAGTCCCCTGAAATTCACTTTGCTTAAAAACACCTACACAACTCCGAGTTGTCAACCTAACACACACATTGGCCAACATTCACAATGGCTCCCTCCAAAAGAACCAGCAGGCACAAGCCATCCAATACATCCACCTCATCCGGCAACAATGGCAATCCCCCGGCGCCCTTCAAACGCCCACCGGAGGTGCTGGCGCCCTTCATCAGCGAGCTCTCGGAGAAGCACGTGTACATCACTCACATCGATGCAAAGCCCCCAGCCTTCAAGCGCAAGATGTTTCTCGTGCCCGTCGCCATGAACGTGGCCGTTGCACTTCTTTTCGCCTGGCGCATGTACCACATCCTGCCGTGGTACTGGAAGCTCCTGATGTCGGGCTGGGGCCACGCCAACGAGACAAGGTTCAACTCTTCGGAGGCGACGTGGTCCGAGCTGGTATGGGAGATTTTGAAACGCGGGATCGTCATGTTTATCGATTTCATGCTGTTCGTCTTTGTGTGGCCGTGGCCTGTGGAGTTTGCCTTTGGCAGGTCGCATGGAAACCCGACGCGGTGGCGGCTGAATGTTGGATTCCGGGACAAGGAGATTTATGTGCGCCGCAGCAGAGACTGGGACCTGATGCTGCGCGACATCTTCAAGGATGAGAATTCGAAAAAGATCTTGCTCGCTTATACTCAGGAGGCAACATCTCCATTGCTGCAGGAGCAAAAGACGGGCTATCTGCTGATGAACTCTAAATGGGACCTGGACTGGAATCTCATGATCCTGGCTCACAAGTTCGTGGATAAAAAGGAGGTCGCCCTCGAGGCGTTCAGGAACGTTATTCTGGTATTCCACCAGGACTACGGTTGGATCTGCCACGATCTCAAGATGGGCATAGCGGCCGAGGAAGAGGATAGGAGGAGGCAGGTTTTTGCCTTTCGAGATGTGCTCACGGCTATGGGCAAAGAGAATCTCTTTTACCGGTGGATCGAGGTGGTGCAATTTGAGTCCACCCAGCCAGGAGGATTTGGCCCAGAGAAGCAAGAAGCTGCGGCGAAGAAGATTCGTGAGATGTTTGAGGCTGAAAGTATCAACTTTGACGAACTGTGGAAGGAGGCTGTTGGTACGAATCCAGGAATATGATTATTTGGTCGGCAGCTAGCTGGGTCAAAGAGATGAGATACGCATTTGCATACATGTTGGAGTTGGTGGAGACGGGAGTGAGTGGTAATGTGGGAGTATTGATACATGTATGCCGTCCATTTTGGTGTATTCAAGAAACCTGCATTTCTAATATGTCTATTTTACAACAATGAGGCTATGCAATAAAAGTTCATCCAAACAGCCTGTCTATCTATATATATGCACCCAGCAAATGCCGTCTAGTCGTACAGCTGTAAGGGGGTGCCCAGGTCCAGGTCCAGCCGGTTGGCCAAGAACAAAGGAGAGAGAAAAGAAAAAAGAGCTTCGAACAGGAATTGAACCGCAACATCAGACGGACTAGGCTTGTCGACAAAAGAACAGAACTAAAATACTGTTGGACACGAAACCCATGATTGCACATCGCGCGGGATACCCACACAACACACCTCGAGGCTACCGAAAAAGTAACAGAGGACCACCACCACCTCAACACCACCAATATAAAAAACCAAAAAGGAAAAAAAGAAGAAAAAAATGGTCTTCCACGCCCAGCATTCACTCTAGATCCAGCGGTGAATCTACTGCGCGCCTGGCTTTCGCCTTAGGTATTTAATTTGCGGTTTGCCCCAGCTCGTCCACGGGTAACACCAGGGCCATCGGTGTCGGCCATGCAGGGCTGGGGGCCGTGTCTGAGATTCCGCAGATGGATGTGGTCGAGGACGACAGGACGGCAGCCGCACCTGAGGTGGCCCCCTCGGGGGACTGCGTCGTTGCCGAATCCGCCACACCACCTGGGAGTGTCGCTGGTGACAGGTATTGGAACCTTTTGATATATAAGGCTATGGGAGGTTGGCAGCTGGCCGCCGGTCCAGGTGCTGTGGTGTTTCGGTACAGTGGCTGCCAGTTCTGCCAGTGCCTGACAGACAGTGGATGGAGAATCAAACAGGGCATTGTGCTCGCTGTATGGCATAGTCGATCGAGATCTGGGGGGTGTTGCTGTCAGTGAAGGAAGAGGAAGAGGAACAGCAGAAGAGACTTGATACTGTATAGGAGCTCTGTTCTGCAACCGTGTGTCAAGTCAATATGCACGCCTTTCACAAGAGATATTGTCTACTACACAGAAGCATCTATTGCTTGTATAAAATGCTTCAAGGGACAAGTACCCGGCAGTCGTGTAACTCCACAAAATATTGCCATGTTGAAGAGACATTTATGGTATAGATGCTTCCTTGATATGGACTGATACAGCAGACATGTTATACAGGTACAGGAAAATATCAATGATCCTTATCATAGTCTATGGTATCGCTGTGCTTGGAGCATCACACACTCGTAGTGTTCTTGACGCACTCGCGATGTTCTTCACGCCCACGTCACGAATCCCTCCGAAGAATACATTTGAGAAATCTAAATATATTTCAAAAAAATACCCGATTCGAAAAATGCTCAAACCATAACGTTACGTATGCATGACGCCTTCGTAGAAGAGCCAATTGGGGAAAAAAAAAGACCTCCTCTTGACGTCGAGAGTGGAGTACCGCGCCTTTACGTGGCTTCCCGAGATGGTGGCCTGCCGTATGGGGCAATTTCCGAACTGAAGCTCAGCACGTGCACAGTAGCGATGTATGGCGACGAGTTCAACAGCAATGAGAACAGCGCAAAGGGAGCCAGACGAGGCTACAGATTAGTATAAGTAATTGCACCGATTTACGAGATGCGGCCATCTAATAATAGCATTGGATCTATTTCATCTCCATTTATACAGTATCCCTAAATCCTTTCCTTCTCCTCTTCAGCTCGGCGTAATTCGTGTCACCCATGCCCAACAAACTGCGCCTTCAGTTGCACCCTTGAGCGCTACATCAAATCAGTCTGTCTGAGACATATCAAAACGACACAGCCTTCTATACCCCCGCCGACCAACTTCGTATAACATCTCATTGCCTCATGTGTTTCGTATCTCCATCTACTTTTGATATTTTTCCTCCTCTAAAATCTCACAGCTTGTGTCCAAGACGTGGGACACACATATGCCGCCCCAATTGCAGAGTGGTACACGCGGCTTGCCCCGTTTTCGCTGCTCCTAATGATCTTCCCCCCAAAGTCTGCTGAAACATCGCTCCAAATTCTGTTAGCGCCTGCAGCGTGTCGTGAAATGCGCTATGCCTCGTAGTTGTAAATGCTCCGTAGCCCGGCTCGTCAATAGGCCACAGAGGTATTTAGCAGTGCGGCTGCGCTATGGCGCACGCTGTGGCGCTGGAAATCCCCCCAAAGGACGCACTGACCCCTGCCGCTGCCGCACAAGAGCCTCAGGACTGGACGAGTTAACGCGGCCCACCACAAGGGACCTCATCTCTCCTGCGAGACGCCTGTGGACCTTTCGCAGATTTGCCAGACCATCCATACATGTACCTGCTCCTCTGTGCATGACAGCGCTGTCCAGCATTGGCTTGGGGTTCATCTGCTTCCTCGACTCTTCAAACGCCCCTCGCCTGCCGTTGCTTCGTTGCTTCGCACGCCGATTCTCACCGACTAGAGTCTGGTCTGGGGCTGGACTCCTTCGAACCATCGATCCTCGACGACTGAATCGGCGCATCCTCCCTACTTCGACCGTGCCTCCACTGCAGCTGCCACTCTGTAACGAGCCGTCAGAATGTCTTCATCGGGGTTGACGCGGCGTCGCGGCGCAGGCGGCGCGGGTGGTGCTGCTACCACTGAGGGCGAGAGCAGCAACGGCGTCTCGAGAACCAATTCGACCCGAGATGTTCGAGACAACGGCCCAGAGACGAGCTACGAGAGCGGCGAGAACGGCCACAAGATTGCGTTCGACCCTCGAGACATTAGCGAGTCTGCTGAGCGGAGCAAGCAGCCCAAGCTGACCATGATGGAGGAGGTGCTGCTGCTTGGCCTCAAGGACAAACAAGTATGCAGGAGAAGCCAGATGTGGCGAGAGACCAATTGCTGACCCAACCCGACGATTAGGGGTACCTCTCGTTCTGGAACGACAACATCTCTTACGCGCTCCGTGGATGCATTGTGCTCGAACTGGCCTTCCGCGGGCGCATTGCCATGGAGAAGGACCCGGCGCGGCGACGATTTCCCCTTGCCGATCGAAATATCGAAGTGATTGATGATACCCTCACCGGCGAGGTGCTGCTCGACGAGGCTCTTAAGATGATGAAGCAGAGCGAAAAAATGAGCGTGAGCTCCTGGATTGACTTGATGAGCGGTATTACACCCCTGCTCTTCAGTTGCATTTTCTCTCCCCCTCGTCAACACTGCTCTTTTTGCAATGGCGACAGCAGCGCCACATTTTATTTACATGTACATGATCAATGGCAACTAACGCTCTCTCTTCTCTCTGGCTAGGCGAAACTTGGAACTTGATGAAGATAGGATACCAGCTCAAGCAGGTTCGTGAGCGATTAGCCAAGGGCCTGGTCGACAAGGGCATCCTACGGACGGAGAAGCGTAACTTCCTTCTCTTCGACATGGCCACCCACCCCGTCGCCGACGGCGGAGCCAAGGAAGAGATTCGCCGCCGCGTGCGCAACGTCCTCACTCAACGCACCGTCGTCCTCAACGGCAGCCAGTTCCTCCCCGAGAACCTCGAATTCCGCTACCTGCGCACCGTGACCATGGTGTGCGCCGCCTACGCCGCCAATGTCTTGGAGAATGCGCTGTCTACGCTGGGCCACGAGGCCAGAGAGCGAGCGTTTGCTCAGACAGACGAGCTGCTGGCGGATTACAGCCAGTACCCCTTTGGCAAAAAGGCCACGGGCAATGGCATTGGAGCTAACCTGCCTCAGGTTATCGCCGAGGTAAGCATTCAAATTTTGTGCCCCGACTTTATTGCCTTTTTTTACGCGTAAATAATTATATGCTAATGATGTGGCACAGGAGGTGACCAAGGCAAAGGATAAAGAATTGCAGCTCGAAATCGTCGCAGCCTGCCTGAGCGTCTTCACCCGACTCGACTCCCTTCTATAAACCCGACTCGGCTCTTGAGAACTGAAACCCCGCTACGAACACTCTCCTAATTCGACTTTATAATGATGACAGAATAAGAGTAAAAGGCCATTCGATTCCCCATTTCATTCTATTATACATACCTTGACCCTTCCTCGTTGCTCTCTCTCACACACACATATCTGAAAACAGCACTACCAGAAAATCTTTTGCCTTCCATTGTCATTTTAGCTTGGGGAAAAAGGGAAGTGGAAATAGAGAGAGTTTTCTTCTATTTATCCTATTTATTTTTTGCTATTTGGTCGGAAACTCACGGCTGAATGAAAATACGACCATACTCGACGGGAGATCAACGGAAGAGAAAGACAGGGGGCGAAGAGCTTTGTTATGTTATGAGAGGGAAATAAAAAGGAAAGGGAAGAAAAAAGGGAAAGCAGAAGAGAGATCCGGAAAGCGAATATGCCCTAGCTTTTTTTTTATTTTTAATTTTATTCCTTCTTCTTCTTTTGTTTTTGCTTCTTCCTGTTCTTGTTTTTATTTTTTTCTTGTTTTCGAAATTTGCAGGCAGAGGGGCGGATATGGAAAATTTCTGGGAAGAGGGAAGGTAGGGAGGAATATGAAGAAGAGCTTGGGAGATTGGGATTGTGCGTCTTTCTTCCTGTACCTATGTATGGCTTGCGTATGAAAATTTATTTTTGTAATGCTGATTTTATAAGAACAACGCAGATGTATGGCGTCAAAATTTTACAACTTTTTTTTTCCTCCTCTTCTACTCGAACAAAGATATCTCCGCTTCCTGCAACTAATTCCTTTCCCTTTTTCTAGTGTATGTAACATTAAAACTTTTTCATCAGCTGTTCGATGAGGAAAGCCCTTTTTCCAACATAAAAGATATAC